CCTCAATCGAGAGATTCTCAATCCAGGCCCTGAGATATCAAGATTCACCCCATCAAGTGAAGGATTCTGTTTCCATCTTTCTGGGTGTGTAATTTGCAAACACATTTAGAGCTGACCTTGGGGAAGGGATGAGAGAGTCATTAAGGGAGGGAGGGAGGAGCAAGTCATTAAGGAGGGACTTAGAGAAGAGATTACATAGTCCAGTGATAGCAGGACATGTCAGAAATTCAAAATAACCCCATTTTGATTTTGTTTAGTATAAAATGGGGCAGAGAGAATTTTCAACATTCTGTTAATATACCTTACAGCAATAAAAATGCATTCCTGGAATCCCTGCAGTGTGGTTTCTTGACCTGATCTACCTCAAAGGGCTGAGTATTTCAGTCCTGACCTGGTGCTTTGGCTGTGCTTGTGACAACTAGAGTCTTCTATTGCATTGGCTAAGCCCAACCCCAGAGTTGCTTCCACAGAGCAGTCACATGGCTCCCCCTTGAGAGAGTCCAATCCTTAGTGGCAAAGCACGTGAGCTTTGCTTGCAAAAATGTCCCGAGGCAATCCTAATCTGAATTGAGGAAAACCACTTCTTCGCAGGAATAGCAGGCCCATTTCTGTTACAGAAGAAATGAGAACTGTTGCTAGAGCATTCGAAAGAAGGAAAAACGGGATCCGGGTGAAGAGCAGCAGAACCCAAAGCAGAAATAAAATGGCAGTCTCCACAGAGGATATTGCTGCAGGAGTGCAAGAAACTGCACGGCTAGGGGGAGAAGTAGAGGATAATGTTTTGAACTCTGGAACCTGTGTTTCACAGTGAACAATGCTGGTGTGGGGCTCATTGGCCCTGTGGAGTCCATCAGCATCGATGCCATGAAACACATCTTTGAGACCAACTTCTTTGGTGCCATCCGCATGATCAAGGCTGTGCTCCCTGCAATGAAGCAGCGTCAGAAAGGACACATTGTAGTCATCAGCAGTGTCATGGGATTGCAAGGTATGAATGGTATTCCTGGCTGGGGGTGGGGTGGGGGGTGGAGACGAAGCAAAGATTCTGGGAGTTGAAGTCTACACATCTTCAAGTTACCAAGGGTGAGAAACACTGACCTAAATCAAAGCATCTATAAATCCTTGCCCTAGTTCCCTGGTTCTTATGGCAAAAAAGATCTCATGGACTCTTGCGAGATCGCATTCCTCACATCACCAGTTAACTTTCAACATCACAGATAGGACATCATTAAAAATATTCTGAACAACTCCAATTTCCACATTTGCAGCTCATCTTATCTTGGCAAATGAAGCTCTGCATTTGCCAAGATTATACACAATTCTGGCTTTATTTGACTGTAAGTCTCCTTCTGTCTCTCATTACAAAATACCTGAGTTATAGGCTGTAATATATACCTCTCACTTCAGGACCTCACCGCCCAACCATTCAATGAGTCTTCAAATTGTTATCTGAGTGCCAAATTCTTGTTAACAACATCAGCCTTCCCCTGTTTTGGCATATTGGACTTCAGCCCTCAAGTTTCCATCCACACAGACTAACCATATTGAATGGAAACAGAAGTCCATCCCTTCTGGAGGACACTGGGCTAATTTTAAAAAATTCAGCAGAAACATAACATGCTACAAAGCAAAGCACTAACTTCAAGGTTCATCTTGGTTTCCAAAGATGCCTCTGGGTCCTATATAGACCCCAGGGGCACTGTGAAAAATAAAGAGTTAGTGGCTGCAAGCTAGTCCTTTGTGTACTGTAAATATGTGCTCATTTGCCCTTAAAATAAAGAGGTAAACTGAAGTAATCTGGAACTTGGGTCCTGCCTCCCCTTTGCCACTGATAAAAGGTGCTTAGTAACCAGCCACACCCTTCATTTTCTGAACACACCCATGACATTTTCTCAAAACACCAGACTTGCTCACTTCCCTAAAACAGTTAAATACCCTTAGGCTAAGGGAAGAATATAAGAATAGATGGAACTACAAAAACTTACATCCCTTCTGCTTCCTTGCCAGGTATCCCTTTCAATGATGTCTACGCTGCCTCCAAGTTTGCCATGGAGGGTTTCTGTGAAAGCCTTGCTGTGCAGCTCCTCAAATTCAATATCTTGTGAGTGAATGAGAAAGTGACCCAAACTTACAAACAGAGCCAATTCAGTCACTAGGCAGAGAGGGATGGCAACCAAAAGTAGTAGAAGCTGGGAGTAGAGAAAAGGGGGTGAGTGCAAGATCCCGGGGGACAGAGTTGCATGGACCAGGCAGCTTCTGTCCCCCTAGACCAGTGTTTCTCAACCTTGGCAACTTTAAGATATGTGGACTTCAACTCCCAGAATTCCCCAGACAGCTATGGGATATGTGGACTTCAACTCTGGGATTATCTGGAGGTTGAGTCGTGGCAACTGGACTTCTTTTCCTTTAGTTTGATACGTTTCGCTGCTTGTCCAAGCAGCTTCTTCAGACTGAAGAAGTCCAGTTGCCATGACTCAACCTCCAGATAATTCCACCTGGATGACTGAGAATCTTCATCAACATATTCAACTCTGGGAGTTGAAGTCCACATATCTGAACATTGCTAAGGTTGAGAAACACTGCCCTAGACTCACTTGGTGCTCCCAGGTGCAGTGATAAATGCTACTCAGCATCTTCTGAACTGAGGTAGGGTTTGCCATATAAACAGAATTGAGAGGGGAAGTGGCCTTGGTCTCAGACTCCAAGGAAGGGATCCTCCTTCATTTTATTTTGTGTTCTAAATACCCAGTGGAAGAATCTTGCACAACGTGTGGGCAGCAGGTTGGGAGAGGAGGCAATTTAACGATGGAGGCTCCATCAGAACTGGTCTCCATGTGCTTATATTGCCATAAAGCAAAAATTAGAAGGGCAACTGCATACTATTTGGCCTCATGCGCATCTGAGCTCTTAAATTCATGCTCAGCAACATTTTCAAGCTCAGCAGAAATAGCACAAAGATTCAAATGGAGGAAAAGTGAAAAATCAATGAAAACTCTTGAGATCTCTTGTGATGAGAGGGACATTTTTCAAGAAGAGGTGCTGTTCTGAAAGTCAGTCTTTTTAAAAACAAAATAGTATTTTTGAGGTTTTGGGAGTATCATCAAGAGATGACAGGGGTGTTCTGTTGCTTTACATAAACACAGGTACACACACTAGCAACTTTTCATAATAGCATTCTGTGTTCTTGACTAGTAATATTAGCAACAATAAATGAAACTTTTGAATTAGTGTTACTGATATCCCAGTACCAACTCTGATGCTGACATTTCATGTCTGACATTTCTAATACACTACATATTTCTTAAAAATAGGCCAAGGGAGCTAACAGACTATTCAACCATTCAACCAATAATAACTGAAAGCCAGCTTGGTCTAGTGGTCAAGGCACCAGGCTAGAAAGCAGGAGACTGTGAGTTCTAGTCCTGCCTTAGGC